GACAAGCCGCTGGGGGAGAAGTGTGCTACTATGCATGCTCTGGGCCAGGCCACCCCATCATACCACATGGGTAAACCCTTAAGTCCTCGCAAGTCCCACAAGGTAGGTGCCATCACTGTCACTGTGTTTAGAGCTGAGCCACTGGGGCATAGAGAGGTGGAGTAACGCGTGTCGTTCTGTCCCACAGCAAGCACGGAAGCCTTATGACGTGCGGGATGTCATCGAGCAGTACTCTCAGGGCCACCTCAACCTCATGGTGCGCATCAAAGAGCTGCAGAGAAGGTGGGCACAGTCGGGGGCACAGGGAGTGGGTGTGGTGGCGCCTGGTGGGGGTCACGACCTGGCCACGCCCTGGCCAGCCCCACCCACCCTCACAGTGGGCAGTGCCCGCTTCAGCCTGGCTGGGCCAAGGGAAAAAAAGGGCTGAGACGCTGAGATCCCCTCCTCAGCCACACCCCACTCCTCCTTTCACCCCCATGGAGCCAGAGCCACTGGGCCGTGGACTCGGTTCACAGCCAACACTTGGGGCATCTCTGGTTTTTCTGCCCCTGCCGGATCTGAGTGGATGGAGAAGCTGGGATGGGGGGAGACATGAAGGGAAGGAAAGCACCCACCTCCCTGCTGCTTGGCCACAGCACCAGCTCCACACCCCCTGACTCCAGGGCACCCCATAGCCCACCCACCTCTTGCGCCACCCCTGAGCAAGGGGCTGAGCCCAGGCCTAGGAGGAGACACACCTGGTGCAAGACCCCACTCCATAGGCTCCCCACCCCAGGCCTGCACCTGGGGACCCTGACCACTGAGAGCCAACATGTTCTGCACGTCTGGCCTGGGCTCTGGAGAGCTTGATCCCTTGGAAGCAGCACCGTCCTGGGGCCTGCACAGACTCAGACAGCTGTACTTCCATGGTAGGCTAGCCCAGGAATCTAGCACTGTGTGTTACAGGGTATGACTGGGAGAGTGTACCCGTCCCAGCCATAGGTGAGGCCAGGGTCTCGGGCTGTTTCTCCCATCACTGACCCCACAGCCCCTGCCCAGAAAGGAGGTGTAAGGGGCAGCCCAACTACTGCCCTCATCTCTGAGCTCCCTGCCTGGCCTCCTCAAAAGCATGAGGCTCTGGGGGGTCGGGGGCACCTGGCAGGTCTGGGCATGTGGGGGGGGTGACCTA